AAGTAGAGGTTTTTGAAATAGGTGGTGATGATCTTCTGTATTTCCACAGAGTCTATAGTGATTTCACCCTTTTCATTCCTTATTGCATGAATTTGAGTTTTTTCTTTCCTTTTTAAAATAAAGGCTGGCTAGGGGCTTATCAATTTTATTTATTCTTTCAAAGAACCAACTCTTCGATTCATTGATTCTTTTATTTTCTTAGTCTCTATTGCATTAATTTCTGCTCTGATTTTTATAATTTCCTCCCTTCTTTTGGCTTTGGGCTTGACTTGCTCTTCTTTTTTTAGATGTTTGAGGTGTAGCTTCAGGTTGTTCATTTGTGTTCATTCTGTTTTCCTGTTGTGGGAACTCAGTGCACTAAATTTTCCTCTGAGGACAGCTTTCATTGCATCCTACAGATTCTGGCAAGTTGTATTCGTATTTTTGTTTGCTTGTAGGTACTGTTTAATTTCTTTTTTAATTTCCTCTGTGACTCTCTGATTGCTCAAGAGTGTATTATTCAATTTCCATGTGTGGGGGGGGGTTGCAGTTTTTTAAACATTAATTTCTAGTTTCATGGTGCTAGGCTAATTTCAATTCTTTTGTATTTACTTAAATATGTTCTGTGGTCTGGTATATGATCTACTTTAGAGAATGTCCCATGTACTCCTGAGAAGAATGTATATTCTGATGTTGGATGGAACACTCTGTATACATCAAGTCCATTTGTTCATAGGTGTGATTCAATTCTGTTATTACTTTGCTGATTTTCTGTCTGGTTGGTCTGTTCTTTTGTGTCACTGGTGTGTTACGTTCTCCTGTTGTAATTGTGTTATTGCTTATTTGATTGTTCATTTCTGTTAGTACTTGTTTTGTATAGCTGGGTACTCTGGAATTTGGTAAATATGTATTTAAGATTGTTATTTCTTCCTCTTGAAGTTTCCCCCTAACTAGTGTGTAGTGACCTTCTTTATCTCTTTGAATCATTCTTGGTTTGATGTTCATATTGTCTGCAAACAAAATAGCTACCCTCACTCTTTTTTTGGGTTCCTGTTGCATGAAGTATTGTTTTCCATCCTTTGACTTTCAGTCTATGAGTTTCCTTTTGGGTTAGATGGGTTTCTTGTAGACAGCATATGGTTGGCTGTTATTTCTTGATCCATTCTGCCAGCCTGTTTCTTTTAATTGGTGAATTTACATTAATGTTTATAACTGTTATATATTGGTTTATTGTTGACATGTTATCTTTCTGCTGTTGTATCTTTACCTTTCCATTCTGTTTACTTGTCTGCCTTGCTTAGTGGTTTTTTTGTATGTTTATCAAAAATGCCTTTCAGTATTCTTTGCAGGGTTGGTTTGGTGATCATGAAGTTCTTCAGCTGTTCTTTGTCATGGAAGTATCTTATTTCTCCATCCATTTTGAAGGATAGTTTTTCAGTTTTTCATACATCAGTCTGGGATGGAAGTCATTTTCCTTTAGGATCTAAAATACTTTGCTCCGTGCACTTCTTTTTTTTTGTCTTTTTCATTTTTATCGGTACCGGGGATCTAACTCACGACCGCCTGCTAGCAAGGCAGGTGCTTATGCCGCTGAGCTAAATCCCCAGCCCCGCTCCGTGCACTTCTTAATTTCATTGTCTGTGTTGAGAAGTCTGCTGGGATTCTGATAGGTTTTCCTTTTTAGGTGATCTGTCTTTTGTCTCAAACAGCTTTTAATATTCTGTTGTTATGTTGGGTTTTTGGGATGGTGATTATTATATATCTGGGTGTAGTTTTATTTTGGTTATGGCTATTTGGAGTTCTTATGCTTCACTAATCTATATGTAAGTTTCCATTCTCATGTTTGGGAAATTTTCAGCTATTACTTCTATACATAGCCTCTTGATATTGTTTATGTTGTCCCCTTCTTTTTCATTTATCCCTATCTTATGTTGTTTTTCTTTGCATCATCTTGCAGTTGTTGAATTGTTACTTCCTGATTCCTTGTTATTTGTAAAAGATCTTTCCTTTCCTGTTCACTATCTGCAATCTTGTCTTCCAGGTCTGAAATTCTATCTTCATTTTCGTTGAGGCAGTTTTGACAACTTTCAACCGAATTTTTGATTTCCCGTATATCTCTTTGAATTTGCTTCATGTATTCTGTTTGTTTCTTATATTATTCATCCAGAGATTTTGTCTTTTGGCATTGTTCCTCTAATTTTTTAACTGTGTCATCTTTAGATGTGTTCAGTATTTCTTTCATTTACTTTTATCATTTCTTCTTTTACCTGGGAGATTATTTCTAATTTGAATTCCTTTACAGCTACCTGGAGTTGCTTCTTTATTTCAGTTGCATTATTTCAGGCATTTCAGGTGTATGGCTTATATTTTCTTCTATGTACATGGCTCCTAGGCATTTTTGGGATGGGCTGGAGGTTTAAGATTGCATTTTGGTCTTTCACCTTATCATTTTCCTATATTTCCATGTTTCCAGTGATGTTCCGGAGCTTCCCCTGGGTGTGTTGGAAATTGCCTCCTACACCCTCAGTTCCTGGGACTGAATGGAGTTTGCTGACCGTAGTCCAGTCAGGTCTGGATGACCTCCTGTGCCACCTCCAGTGCTCCAGGAAGCTGGGCAGGCTCCTAACCACTGTGGGTGATGGTTCAAAGCTCTCACCAGGCTAGTGCCAATATACTAGAACTCACCTCACACGCCCTCAGCTCCCTTGATTGAATGAAGGTAGCTGGGTGAGGTCTAGTCAGCCTCTGAAATCTCCTGAGCCTAATCCAGAGTGGCTGGAAGCTGGGCGGATCCTTAATCACTGGGAGTGATGATCTAAACTCTCCCTAGGCCCTGCTCAGGTGTGCTGGAACTCACCTCCTGCAGCTCCAGTTCCCCAAATTGAAAGAAGGTCACTGGGCATGGCCCAGTCAGGCCCCAAACCTGCTGAGCCTAGTCTAGTGTGGCTGGAAGCTGGGTGGGTCCTTAACCTCTGGGAGTGATGATCTTAAACTCTCCCCAGGCCTGCGCCACTGTGCTGGAACTCCTCTTTGCACTTTTAAAATGTGACTCTCCATGACATAATGTTACACGTAAAGCTGACATGGACCTAACATGAACCTAACAAATACCCAGCTCTTCTGTTTTCCCCTCACTCCACTACTCTCTCAATTCTTCCAAAGTTATAAAAATTAATTAGAGCATCCAGCTGCCATTTATGAATGTTCACAAAACATTTTTTTGTTGGGTTTGTTTTATTTTCTTTTGCTTCCTAATTGAGTCAAAACTGTGGTTGGACTTAAGTTTCCTATAGTTTTAAACTTTACTTTTTGTTTGTGTTAACCTTAAAGGTAAAAGTATTTCAAATCTCTGTGGAAACTCATAACTTCTGAAACTGGCATATAAAAGTGTATGTATTGTATACAGCATGATGGTTTGCAGGATATAGAAATTGTGGCATGGTTGAACCTTGCTAAGTAACAAATACATTGTCTCATTTAATTAGCATATCGTGACCAGTCTTAATGTCCAGTCTTTGCATTTTTCTAGTCGATCATCATCCCTGATAACCATGTCCAGTGCAGTAAATGAGGAACTTGTAATCTTAAAAAGGAATGATATCATTAGAGAGCTGTGATTACACCAAGGCAGCGAGTCAACAGAATTATCACTATTTCCCAAGTGAGAAAAATGAGGGAGAAATAAAGTTTATTAAAATCTAACTCTATTTCAGAAAGGCTTTTGACTTTCAACTTGGCCAGGGAATGTAAGTAGGTTTTCCTACTGAACATGTGGCCAACCAGTGCTAGACTGCTTTTACTTCTGTTAGAGTAGTAGTTCTCAAACATAGTGACTCATTTTTAATTTTAGAATGTAACTTTTTGCAAAATAGTTTCCATTTTTAAAAGTTAAGTTTTTTTTAACTTTTAAAAGAACAGTTCTAGCTGGCTTTTATATACATTTTAATGTAAGTTGGAATTACTTATAAGATATCCAAAAACAGTATATCTTTCCTGTACCTCACTCATTCATTTCAGTAGTCGGTACTTACTGAGTGCCTGCCACCCATCAAGGCTATCGAGGCCCCGGGGAAGCATCCATGAAGAAAAGAGGAACTGGCTGAGCAGCTAAGACACTCAGTATCGCTAACAGGAAGCTGCAATACGTGGTGTGATGCTAAATCACACAGCAGGAGGACATGCCTTAGGCTGGGGCTGAGAGGGCGTCATCAGTGGTCACTGCTCACATGACCCTGAAGCATCAGAGGACCTGGCCAGATAAGCAGGGAGACAGGAGAATAGGGAGGAGCCTTCCAGGAGAGAAAACAAGGTGGACAGGGAATGGACAAGAGTGGCATAGGCCCAGCTGCCTGAGTCCTGCTGCTTCCTGACAGTGTGTCCTGTGACACCAGGAACAAGGTTCAAAAGCCTCTGCAGTGCATCCTGTGAGATATTTCAGACCACTTAGGAGCCTGGGCAGTGCTGGATTTTCTATGAAATATTTAGCAACCATCACTGAAAGTATGAAATTCTTGAAATTTTACATATATTTACATGACTCACATGACTTATGTATATATATATATATATATATATGTTATTTAATTTTATACATATTATATAATATATATATGGGCAGATGTCACAGCAACCCTCCATCCATCCCCATGGCTGGTACTCAGCCCCAGATGACTACTCCACAGCAGGGGAGAGAACGAGGTGACACCCACCCTCACTTCATCCTCCAGGTACCATTGTTGTAAGGAACCATAAAAGCACAGAAGAAAGTAAAATTTGCCACAAAAGAAGGCAGTTAATTTTTAGTATTGTACACATATGAACTTCATTTTCAAGATATGTTTGCCTATGGTTCACCTTATTTTTTAATGGTGCTTGTTTGTAACTCTGGGCCATGAACAAAAAGTTTGTGCTGACTGAAATCCCTTTCCCCGCAGCGATGTACAGGCATCGTCAATGTAGAGCAGTCCTGGCCCCTGCTTGGAGATGGTCCTCACTTTCCCCTTTTTCTGTTTTTTTTACAGATCAGCAAACAGCAGCTGCAGACAGTCAAGGACCGGTTTCAGGCCTTTCTCAATGGGGAAACCCAGATTGTGGCTGACGAGGCCTTCATGAACGCTGTCCAGAGTTACTATGAGGTACGAAGCACCATGGGAAGGCCAGGGGTCTGGAGCCCCAGGAGGGGGTTCTGCGTTACTGGTCTAAAGGAGCCCACCTCCCCGGGCGCAGGGGTTGGCGGTTGGTTACAGGGTTAAGCAATAATAGCATTTTCTTTTGTGGAAAACATAAATAGAAGGTACTACTTGCTGATTTTTAGACCAGGTAATGTGCTGACTGTTTTCTTTGGGATAAATAACATTTGCATGAGATGAATCCTGAGAAAATTTTCCATTTTACCAATGACAATGCTTTCAATGCATTATTTGCTGGAAAGATTTTAATTTGGTAAAATTCTCCTTGTCTGCTAGCTAAAGCATTTGGCTCACTTTTTGGAAACAGTGGCACGTGATCACAATGAGCTCTTGTGAAAATACTATTGACTGCTTTGCTAAATAGCATTTAATAGTAAATGACCTCAGTGGCATGTGTTGGTTCCAGCAAGGGACTCATTTTGCAGATACCGACTCCACCTACAGACTCATTTCCTTGGTGAAATTCCTATATGGAGCTATTTTAGATGTCAAAGTAATTTTCATATTGGCCCCGATTCAAAAATTTTTTTTTAATTTTACACACAGTATTGTTAATGCCAGAGACCTTGCTGCTTCATCTGATGTGATGTAACATCTAGTGAATGTTCATGGGCTGCAAGAGTGAGACTCAGTGTCACAGTGATGTACGGTAGTGAATAACTTGAATATATCTAACAAAAGATTTGGTAGAGAAACCACCCAAGAGTGAAATTAATTTTTCCCCTTTTTATCAAGCTCTGAATGCTGGTGGGAGGTAATTCAAGAGCCCTTGTCAGGCTAGACAGACCTTTATCAATACTTCTGTGTTTACAGTCATTTGCTAGAGTTTATAAATTTATAGATTACAAATCTTAATTAGAAGGCTCATTTGACTAATGATGTAAATTTTAAATGCCATTTCTCTTAATTAAGCTTGAGAATTAATTGGTATCAGTGTGCTGACGAGTCTCTGGAAACTGCCATGATATCTATGGTGACCCTGCTATTTTCCTCACAGTGATTCTTTTTTTGTCTTGCGAGGATCTGGGCGATGAGGTGATACTGAATATTTAATGTTAGGATTTGAGTAATGTATCAACGTGGGGCATTAATGATCTCACTGCTGTCTTCATTAGTAAAGCTCTAGAGGATCTTGAATTCACTGCTCTGAGGAAGACTAATCCTCTAAAGTGAAGGCCCTCAATCTAGGGATCAGGATTAGCCTTTGCTGGGCAGAGCTCCAAGGTGCTTGGCCTCTTCTTCTTTCCTCCTGTTCCCTTTACCCCCGGGCCTTGAAGAAGTTGACGCCTCTTTACCACTCACTCTAGGATTCAAGTGCACCCCTATTGGCCTCTGTTTTGGCCAGTTCTTTAGACCACAAGTGACATGCTCTGCAGTTGGAAAAATAGTTACCCACCTTCCAAAGTCATTCTGGTACCATCTCTTCACCCTGTCCTCCTCCCCCTTCCTTTTTCCTCTCCTACTTTTTTGTTTGCTGTCTCTGTATGTCTCTGTCTCTGCCTCTCTCTGTCTCTGTCTCTCTGGCTTTCCCTCTCTTTCTCCCCACTATACCATCCTGAAAATTTGACTTTATCAACAGCAAAGATCTTTAAAAAATAATACAGCTTTTCCTTTAAAAATTCTGAGATTATTTTAGTAGAAACACTTAGTTTAGGCCTTTGGCTTTGTTTTGCTTTGCTTTGTCAACACACTAGCATAGTAGTGACTTTTTAATCACAGGAGTAGGGAAATACTGCACTCTTACCACACCTACACCCATCTGATCCAGTCTGAGCCGTGCTGGCTGCCAAAAACAGCAAGCAGAGGTGACCTGGATGCTGAGCTGGGCTGGGACAGGATGATCAAGTTCCCTGTGGCTCTCAAAAGTGTGCAGATTTATTTTGTCCTTTCCTGGTGGCCCTGGTTGTCAGAAGAGATCGAGTTAGGCAGAAGATTATTCCCCTAAATCCCTACACTCATGGCTGTGAGGGCTGAGGGCCAAGGTAGGTGCTCCAAACTCTAAATGAGCAGCTCAGTCCTGTTTACACACTCAATCCTTAGACAAGCCACCACATCCTTTCACACATTCAGGTCTTGTACAACAAATGTCTGAAATCCAAGCCTTCATCCCTTCAAGCCTTTCTGCTTGATTTTTGGTTCCTTCAAGGCTGGTCTTAGTGTCACAGAGGGGATGGAAAACTTTTCTCAATCTCAGATCTTGCCTGATGGAAATCTGGGGGATTCTGTAGAAAATGGTCATGGAAAGGGTGGCTGGGAGACATGCAAAACTCATTTAGGAACTCCACCGCAGATGTCTGGCTTCCGCCAGTGAGGCAGCCGTGACTGAGTCTATTTATTTGGCTTTTTGTTTGTTTGTTTTGTTTTGTTTCATAGCTGATCTCCTTTAACAAACATCTGGTTTTTTCGGTCAAGCTAGTTTTTAATGTTTTTCAGACAGAAGTCTTCAGTTATGAGCAATACAAACTGTGGCTATAAGCAATACATTCTAATAACAGCAACAAAGACTATGATTGTTGTAGCTTTCCTTCTTATCAAAGGAAATAACCAGGCTTCAGAAAAAGTGGGAGTCAGGGTGGCAGAATGTCTGGAAGGAATGTGATGCTTGCTGTAACCTGAGTGGACACCAGGCAACTCCACGTTCCCATACTCGCTCTTTTCCCAAGCCCAGTGAGGAGCGGTCTCTCGGGGAAAGCTCAGCTCCCTGTCACTCTTGGCTGCAGAAGGACAAGGCTCTTTGTCTAGCAGTCCTACTGAGTCCGTGCCATGGAAAGGGCTCCTACGAGGAAGACTGAGACACTGTCATCAGAAGAGAAGGCTTGCCAGGCAGAATGTGCAGGTTTCTTCTGCCCGAGCTGGGCCTTGAAGTCTTTGATTGACATTTTTGTAAAATCATCATCATCATCATCATAATCATCATCACTTTTATCATCATCTAAATATCATCTGTGAGGTTGCGTTACCTATTTTTCTAAAATGCAGCAATACATTTTCCAATAAATAAATCCCTAATAACTATTCAGTGACCTTAAAACAGATCTGTCCCTGGGGAGAAGAGTATCTCCCCACTGTCACAGCATTTGACCCGGTGGGCAGGTAGAGGGATTAAGGCATGAGCCAAGGGTTGCTGAGTGCTGGCTGGGGTCCTTGGCCAGATGGGAGCCTCAGTTTGCCCACCTGTAGCAATATCTATATAGATGGAATCTGGAAAGTTCCACAATGAACATCTGAAGGTTGCCAAGAGGGACAGATTGTACAGTGCCCCTATGGCTGTGTAGAGATAATAGAAAGGAAAAGCAAGTTGGCACAGTCGGGACTCCCCAGTTCAGAGCAGGGTGAGGGTAAGACGGGCAGCAGGAGAGGCGCTCGGAAAGATCGCCTTCCACCTACCCCCAGGGCGTGGCCCCAGGTCTGCTTCTGAAATTTGCCCCAGAATCCTTTGCACTTTGGGGAGGCACAGCTTTAAGATCCAAAAATGCCTTATATTTTAGACATGAGCATGTACATTGCCTCCAAGAATGTAAGCATTCATATTTTTCCACTTAAAAAGAAGTGCTTCAAGTGATTATGAAAGGAAAACATGCCAATTATAAAAATTAATGTAGGAGAATCTTTGAAGGGCTCAAACACTTGTAATCTCATCTTCTTAGACAAGTAGTGTCAAATTTTGATACATATCTCTTCAGGTATTTTTAATGTATCTATATACAGTACTTCCATTTTAAGGTGGAATTTATTACAAAATTGTTCAGAACATGCCTTTTTTACTTAGCATAATTGTTACCACTTTTTTTTCCTACCTCTACACAAGTCATACATGTAATATGCCTTTACCAGTAAAAGATCATATTACTGACAATTCTTTGTGACCTATTCTTCCCTCCTCTCTCACATCCCCCTTACCATTGTAAGATTTTAGTATTAAGGTACGTGGTGGACAATGTCCAATACCAAAAAGTATATGTAATTTATCATGACCATATCATATTCTCTTAAAAATAACAGCCAATTTTTATTACATTTTTACTGACCCATTTGGCCTGCATAATCTCATGGGATCCTTACCAGCAGATCCTACAAACTAAAGTTATTATGGTCCCCATTTGAAAGGTAAAGAAACTAAAACTCAAGATAATTAAGTACTGTGCTCAGGTGACAGAGTTAGTAAGCAGAAGAGCCCTGTTCCTGAGTACAGCCTCTCCCTCCCACTATGGATATGTCTCTCACCAAGAGCAAACAGGTGTGTGTGTGTGTGTGTGTGTGTGTGTGTGTGTGTGTGTGTCTCACCATTAGGTTTGTTTTCTGTTTATGTGGGGGGAAAGCCTCCTCTTTGAAGAAGAGGACAAGGTATGACCTGGCTTCCTAGCCTGTCAGCAAGAAGGTAGGAGCTCCCCTTCCCTGCCTTGTGCTGGGCACCACCATACCAGGTAGCTGTGGTTGTGTTTCTGATACAATCTTGAGGCCGCTTGGCCATTGTGACAGAGGCAGAGACAGACGAATCTAGTCAAGCCACGGAGTCGCCACCATTCACAATCCTGTGTTTATCTGTTTATTTTCCATCTCTCATTATGGCCTGTCTGGAAGCTGGCAGAGAAGTAGGGAAGATTTATGGAGGCGCTGTGTGGCACTGTGCCTGAAGGTGAAGTCTCATGCTATAGCCACCAAAGAACAAAAACAGAAACAAACAGAGACACAAGTGAGGCTTGGTGGCTGGCTCAGAGACACACCAGTACTGCAAGTCAGTGCTTGGCGTCTCTATTCACCACAGGGTCAGGCTGGCCTGGGCTCCCTCACCTCCCACAGGCTGAGAAGCCAAGACAAAGGATGAGCCTGGAAATTAGCTTCCCGCTGTCACACCCCCATGGCTGTCTCCCCTCCTCCTGCACTTCCTCCTTCCTTTCTTCAGCCTTTTGCCTCCACAGTCCTGATACTCCACTCCCCAGCCCTCTCTCTGGGGCCTGACAGGCATATCCCACCTCTGCACAGACAGATCCCCTGCCTCCCCAGTTCTCATGGTTCAAGAAGGAAGACTGGATTGACCTCGCATGACAGTCAAGAAGAAGGGTTGATCAGGTTAAGTGACTGCAAAGGACATCGTGAGTGGTTCAGGATACACAGAGTAAGGTGATGTACCACAGAAGGGACTGGGAGGAGCAGGTGACTGGTTTAGGATTCAGGGCTCACTGAGCCAGTTCCGGTCACCAGCCAGACCAGGGTGGCAGCATCTGTCGTGAGAAGCCCATGCAGTGTGCGTGCTGATTTGCCCTTGACCTTCCTGCTCACCCAGACAGGGTCATACTCAGTAGGGGTTCTGCCAGGGAAGGCTGCCTAGTTCTCAGCCCTCTTGTATACATTCAACCAACACTGAGCACCATCTTCACACCGGACAGTCTAAACACTAAGAAGTAGCTGGAAAACAGTGTGACAACCCGCAATCATAAAGAAGCGATGGACGGTAGCTAGGAAAGGGTTTGGGGAGAAGGAATGTCATGAAGAGACCTTGTAACTGGGGCTCACTCAGGCTTGTGGGGCCCTTGTATGGACAGATGGGGAGGAGGGCATGGCTTTGTTGCTGACTATTTACAAATCGCCTGTAATGCTCAGTAGGACTGAGTACAAAGAATGAACCCTATATAGGTATACTCCCTCCCTAAGCTCTTTGTCTCCTTAATCCTGTACCTTGTCCTAGCTTATGTGTCTGATTTATGTCACTTAACAGTGTGGCTTTGAGCACTCTGCATAGATGGTCTCCTCCCAGGACGCAGGCAGCACATGCAACCAGCAAGTACCCTCCCTTTGCAGAGCACCCAGAAGGGAGAGAGGAGCGGGGGGCCATCAGTGACCCTGTGTTTCTAGTCAGCCTCTTTCCTTACCAAGAGCAAGTTGCTTACCCTCTCTGGAGGCATGGTTTTCCCATCCATGGCTCAGGCTGAATCCCACACCCATGTTCGTAGTTAATTTGGGATCAACATGGCAGGTACTGTGCCAGAGACGGAAGCTAGCATGGTTTCCACTTCAGGGTAGACTCTGGCTGATTAAACACATATTTCTCTAGGGCTCATCTGACTCCACTTAGGATAAGCATCTCTGAGGGTCGTGGTTAACATTCCAGCGCTGTGTGCCAGAAGCCCCACCGGGAGCCTTACACATAATCATGACAACACCAACTCACACAGCAGGTAGCAGCCCAGGAGTAGCTGACGTGCTTTTCACAAAACAACTCATTGAATTCTCACTTTAAAATAGCTACAGAGGGGCTCTGGGTACCCCCACTGTATAGCTAAGAGCACTGAGGTACAACGAGGTTAACTCACCTGGATTTTGAGTCCTGAAGTGGCAGAGGGAAAACCACAAGCCTGAGCACAGAAGTCCCCGATCGTGGTGTATATGTTGCCTGGAACCTCGCAGCCACGACTCTCCTCCTAAAAGGAGTTTCGCTTTCTGCAGTTTTGTTTTCCTTTGGTCAAAAGCAGCCCCAAAATAATACAGGGGAAATTACAAAAGTAAACCATTGATGTTTTAATTAACGGAACCTGAGAATTTGTGCAGTTTGTTATACACAAGGCACACACTTGTCCAGGGGCGTTGGGCACCTCTTTATTTACTGCCCCTCCCATTCCCCTCCCTTCTCTCTCCATCACCAGAATCCTCTTCTGCCTGCAAAAGGTCTGCCACCATGTGGATAAGCTCTACATTATCACTTTTCTTGTTGTATATTGTTATAATTGTTCTACTTTATTATTACTTTATGTTACTAATCTCTTACTATACTGAATTAATCAAACTTAATGATGGGAATGGACTCAGGAAAAAACATGGTCCCTCCAGGGTTTGGCACTACCTAGGGCTTCAAGCATCCTCTGGGGGTTCAGTACCCTCCCGTCTAGGTTCTGGGTGGTATTCTACTGCGGATGCACCAGTCAGGCGGGTTGGGCTGGGTGTGCCAGGCCTGGTGCCCCTCGAGGTAAGGCCGAGGAGAGCTGGCCGTGGCTGTCGCCCTGGGGCCAGCAGCTGACACGCTTTCCTCGTCCCGTCCCTGCCCAGGTCTTCCTGAAGAGCGACCGCGTGGCCCGCATGGTGCAGAGCGGGGGCTGCTCCGCCAACGACTCGCGGGAGGTCTTCAAGAAGCACATCGAGAAGCGGGTGCGCAGCCTGCCCGAGATCGACGGCCTCAGCAAGGAGACCGTGCTGAGCTCCTGGATGGCCAAGTTCGACGCCATCTACCGTGGCGAGGAGGATCCCCGCAAGCAGCAGGCCCGGATGACAGCCAGTGCAGCCTCCGAGCTGATTCTGAGCAAGGAGCAGCTCTATGAGATGTTCCAGAACATTCTTGGGATCAAGAAATTCGAGCACCAGCTCCTGTACAACGCATGTCAGGTAAGGTCCCCCCACCTGGGCCAGAACCCACTTCCAGATAATAAAGCATAAATATATTACATTGTATGACTGTTGGTAATATCTGCTATAGGGTAGATCATATTCATGGGTTTCTTCTGATATTAAAAGAATGACATCTTCTCAACCCCTAAAAATCTCATAGCCATGGGACTAAGATTATTGAGTCTTTAATTCCAGGTACAAAAAAAAAAAAAAAAAAAAAATTCAGGTTGGAAAAAAAAAAAAGATTATTGTGTTTAAGAGGTAAATTGACCCTATGAGTAATGGCTCATGGCCCGATTTCTGTGTGCCAAACTGCTGAAAAATCAAAGTAATAAGTTTTTTTTTTTTATTTTAAAAACGATTAAGATAAAAGAGGACATAACAAAACAGGTCAGAACAGAACAATTTAAGCAACATAGTGTTTCATCACAAGACAACCCGACATAACAGTAGCTACCATAGTGTCTCTTTTCTTGAAATATTTGAGTATACCTTCATAAACTATAGTATCAAACATAACAAAACAGTATAAAACCATTCAAGAGAATGAAAGTATTACAGGGTATTCAGAACCAACTAACAGAAAACGAACAATGGTTGCAATATTATCTCCTTGTCCATAAAATTTTTGTTTATACTATCACATATAATAAAATCCAGTAAGATACAACATGATAAACTGATGGAGACAGAAGAACAAAAGCTTGGTAGGACTTCAAAACAAGATATTAAATCAGCGCTAGCTATTATAATGTCTTGTTTTCTGTTTTGTTTTGTTTTTGAAATGGCCCTCTGCCTTTCAAATAGGTGGATTTGTCAGTGGAGTTTGTGTATCTTAAGCCAAGGACCCAACTGGACAGAATACCTGGTAATCCAGTGATTCTTTAGAACAGACCTAGTTTTATACCCTACTTTCATTACATCATGAATTTCCAGCTGCACCTTATGGGGACACCTGAGTCTCTGCTTGGGTGCACCCCCAAATAGGCCTATGTTCTCTCTCTGGGGGAGGGCTAGGAGCAGGGCATCTCAGCTCCTGATGGTTGCCTAACCTTACCATTTTTCCCATTCAGTCAACAAATACTATTGTCTACTTTGCAAAGGGGTGAAAATTTTAGTACATGTCACTGGGTTGTATTTTAAGAGTGTATTATTTCCAGCCCACAACCCTAGAGATTTTCACCCTGAAGACTGTGGTAGGTCCTGAACAAGCACCTCTCTTGCTGCTAATTGTTTTGCCCCTTACTCTGAGAAATGTTGGAGAAACTCAGGTCTGCCCTGGTTTTCCTAGACAAGAGCAGGTTACATTAAGACACATTGCTGTATTAGCCAAGGTTGCTCCTTGCTCAGTATCAGATAGACTGTGGTACAGTAAATACTACTATGACTCCTCAGTAGCTTTGGAGTCTACTCAGTTTCCCATTGGAGTATGAAATGGTAATCAGTTAAAATACATACTGATTTAACCATGTGATGGAATAGAATATTCTTCATTCAACAAAAGACTTGTTGTAGAAGGTAGCTTACCATGTGAGACAATGTCCATTAGATACTGCTAAGTGGAAACTGAATATCAAGCATAACCCCACTTTTATTTGGGGGAAGTGGGTAGAAAAAGTACTGAATGGGCCACACTTAAAATGTTAACCGTTTTATCTTTAGATTATGGTTGATTTTCATGGTTTCTAATTGTGCTTATGTACATATTCACAGTTTTTGCCTTGAGCATATATTTTGTTAATGGAAACAAACACTAAAATCTCAACAAAGAAATACTCAAAATAATAAAAATAAGGAGACATTACCTTCTGGGTAGTTTTCTAGGTGTTAGCTGTTAACATCCTACCTTCGTGATTTTTGCCATTTGTAAATATCATCTGTATGAATATTTAATATTTTTTACTCGATAAACTCAGAATTCACTTCTTAAACCCATCTGCATCCTAAGAAGTGGTTTCTGTGAAACCACAGCTTTGATGTGCTAGTTTTTCTGTTTTTTAGAAAAAGTGCACATTAAAGTGAAAAATAACTATTCAAAGAGCTGTTTTAGGTCACCTCACACTGCCAGTGGTGTGAAGCTGGGGGGCCAAGCAATGCTCTGATGTAGGCAGAGTGTTGGGACAGAAACCCCTGACGCCACTACTCAGCCGAAAAAGCTCCATGCCTACAAGAGCAACTTCTGAAGCTGCAGAGTGAGGCAGGTATAATTCGCCAGGGTATCTACGGACAGGCAGATGCAGGGGAAAGTACTATAATTAGGTTTCATAAATTACAGATTTACTCACTACTGGTAGATTTCTCATAGACTATTCTCTGCTCTGCAAAACTGTCAACTCACAAAAGCAAAGATATGAAAATGAAATCATATTGCTTTCATCCTTGCCCTACTTAAATCACGTTTTTATTTTTGTATCCCCCCTCAGTGTTTTCCTCTTGTGCATGTCATGCACGTCTTAGGGGAAACTGTAATCTGATTTCTGGTGTTGCTTTCTGGAAGTTCTCATGACCTCTTTTTATGGGGATCTGCCAGGAACTGCCACTTTCATCTCGAATGAGATATGACGTTTATTAAAGAGTGATTATATCAGTTATATAGCATTTGTTTATTATAACCTGAAACACATCCATCAAAGCATAAGGAAAAAAGCAAGAATGCTTAGCAGATATTTCTCTATTGGTACATGGAATTGTTAAAGTCTGTTTTGTTGGTGGAGGACGGTTGGATCAGAACAAGTTGCTTATACTCAACATAGCGCCATCAGAACAAGTTGCTTATACTCAACATAGCGCCTAATGTAAAATAATTGGCAACTCATTACGAAATCAGTGGTGTTTTTATTTTTCATGGACCCTTGGGAAGAAGCAGTCAATTATGGAGCTGTTTGAGCATCCCAGTTGAATACCAATTCTAATGCTAACTCAACAAAAGCAAAGCTGAGCTTGGCGAATTGGAGATCTGGTATTGAAAAGCATTTTATACACAGCTCCCATCTCATATTTTTCCCTTTGTGGCCTCCAAATTTGGTATCAATTTGATGTCCAGATGTGCCAAGTTTCTGCTACTTTTTACTCCTCTTTTTAACATCACACGTTGTCCTTAATTACCTTTTTCTAAAATGAATGGACATTTCCCTTGAAAACACCTGGAAGATGCATTTTCGAAAGAAACAAATATACAGTGTCTCATATGTTTAGATGCAGATAAACTCTAGTTAGTGAGACAGCCCAGCTAAAACATGAATGTGAGCTGAGGAAGTCAATTGCTTTTGTGTTTCATTTCTGCTCATTGAAAATGCTGTTTCTGCTTGTTCCATGCTGATCACTTTCTCAGCTCCTGGAGCTGCCAGCAGCCTCACCCAACCCTCTTTTGTGCCATCGTGGGCACATCCTTTGTGCCTCGTGGGCAGCTGGGATGACACACATGTGCTTGCTATTAGGACATGGCGGTGTTCATGTCATTCATGCTCTCTGAATGTTTAGAGATGTTTCCAATGGATCTGGAAAGTTGACTAGATACACAAGGAATGTGATTTTCCAATTGATAAACACCTTTGCATTTTCATTTGCATTGGATTCTCCAACATTAGTGAACTGCTAATTTTCTTAACATTTCATTTCCTTTTCTCTAAACCGTCATCAATGTGGCCTTTATGATGTGGTTATCTTCTAATAGTACTGTCTTCCTTGGACTTGATTAGCACTTGGCAGCTTTTCAGATAGTTTATTAGACTCTGAAGAGAAACCTCAAATTATCAGGCTTTCAGCTGTGACCCAGATTGCTGGGTTGTATCATAACTCATTATAGACTCCTTAATCTCCACGTAACTGCATGGCTTTTTCCAGGATCAGAAGTTCTCCGAAAGACCTGTTAGTGGAAAATTTGTTTCTTGGGCCAGACTGTATTTATTAATCACTTTTCTTGGCCTCATAACAACAATAGAGTGCTTTGTATACAATAATATTTCAGTAACTGACTACTGCAGAAATACTTTAAAATCTGGGAATGGGGCAGTGTTAACAGTAGTCTAATTAAAAGACATTCTTTTATTACCCATTCATTTAACAGATATCCAAATTACCTTCTGTGTATTGGGCATGGTGTAAAATATGATGGGGCCAAAGCCTAAGCGTTCTTGCTTTGTTCTAGGTTGACGGCCCAGAGTACAATTTTTCATTGTCTTCTTTCATGCCCACCCATAGCTCCTTATGACTTGATGGACCTTATCCTGCTCACAAGATTGCATTTGGCTTCACTGTCTTTCTGTGTAATGAAGTTAGTGGCTCAGAAGGATACTCTTATTAAATCTCGCAGATTTCTGGGTCACAGCTCCTGACCTGACCTAGCTGGGCTCTATGCTTGGTGTCTCTCAAGGCTGGAAACCGTGAGCTGGCCAGTCTGCGTGCTCACTGCAGGCTCAGGGGGAGAAGCCCGCACTTTGAACTCCTCACACTCTTGGCACAAGTTGACTCCTTGCAGCTGCAGACCACTTCTGATTCAGCAACAGAGAGAAACTCTGGAGTTTCAGATCTCTGATGTCTAGATCTACTTAGGAGCAACTCCCTGTGGATTAATTTAAAAACAAGAATTAAGTACTTTACATCTGCCAAACTCTTCATCCATGTCATCTATTATTGATTAGAATCAAATCCCACCCTCACTCTTGGGAAGGACCACAGCAGGACAGAGTAGATGACAGTGGACGCCAGAGCTGTCTGCCGCGGTGTTCCAGGTATCAGTTTCAGTGGAACTTGCTTGGGAAGACTCACGCTCATCATTCACCCTAAAATGGGCTTCTCCTTGGTGTTCATTCTTCTAAAAGAGCTGTGTTTATTACCATGATAGCACTTGATACAATCAAAACAATCTTGAATATCTACTTACTTTGTTGTTGTTTATCTTCTCTAGACTATTTTAAGAACTTAGTAAAATGCTTTACACAAATAGATGCCTAATTAAACACTGCATAAATTCCTAAGTGCAGAGCCCAAGCCATCTA